CGTATCAAATTCTTTCTCATCATCTCCTTCTCCTCGCAACAGCCCCTCGACTCCATCCTTTTCTGCTTCTTTTCTGTTGGTCCAACCATCGCTATGTCCGAACCCATCAGAAACAAGAAGGCAGACTTTCCAGTCGCCCCGTAAGTACTGCTATGCGCTTCTCTTCAATTCCCCTCCCCCCGATACTTGACTGACCGTCTTGTCTCATCAACAGTACGCCTCAAAACACACCCGCAAACAACGCCCCTATCTCTTCTCATGCCCAACAGCCTGGAGTCGCCAGCATCAAAGAAGGTATTAAAAAGAATTTTTCTCCCACGCCCCTCCCTTTGAAGTTTTACTCTACGCCCTCTTTCTTCATTCCCGATTTACCCCATCCGCTCCCCGCTTCTTTTTTCTATTCCTGACCAAGTCGCTTTAGAATCCCTTGACCATGCTACGGCTGCTTCTCTCTTCGCAAGAAATCCTGGACTCGTATCCATGATCCAAGGAAAGCTTGGTTCTCTTGTTGGACGTTCGTCTGGCTATATCGAGTCGCTTCCTGTATCTGTCCGTCGACGCGTGGCCGGCCTTAAGGGTGTTCAAAAAGAACACGCGAAGCTAGAGGCTCAGTTCCAGGAGGAGGTCTTGGAACTCGAGAAGAAATACTTCGCCAAATTCACTCCTCTTTATCAGAGACGTGCCACAATAGTCAACGGCGCTGTGGAACCGACTGACGATGAAGTTGATGCAGGAAAAAAGGAAGAAGAGGAAGATGTAGGTGCGAAGGAAGGCGAAGAAGAGCCCAAGAAAGAAGAGGAGAAGGAGCCCGCAATTCCCGGCATTCCCGAATTTTGGCTGTCTGCCATGAAAAATCAGATTTCACTCGCCGAGATGATTACCGAGCGGGATGAGGAAGCCTTGAAACATCTCGTTGATGTCCGCATGGAGTACCTCGACCGCCCAGGGTTCCGTCTCATCTTCGAATTCTCAGAAAACGAATTTTTTACGAACAAAACAATTTCGAAGACCTATTATTACAAGGAGGAGAGTGGTTACGGTGGTGATTTTATCTATGATCATGCCGAGGGATCCAGGATCGACTGGAAGTCCGACAAAGATCTTACGGTTCGTGTGGAAAGCAAAAAGCAGAGGAACAAAAGTAAGTTCAAAGAGAATCAGGGAATAAGAGGGCTTAGGCTAATTTAATTTCCTTACCTCAAGATACGAAGCAAACCCGTGTGGTCAAGGTTACGGTGCCCACAGAATCGTTCTTCAATTTCTTCTCCCCCCCGCAGCCGCCAACGGATGACGATGATACTGTTGCCACTGACATCGAAGAGCGTCTTGAATTGGATTACCAACTTGGAGAGGATATCAAGGAGAAACTAATCCCCCGTGCGATCGACTGGTTCACCGGCGAAGCTCTTCAATTTGAGGAATTGGGTGATGACATGGAGCCTGATGATTTTGACGATGAGGATGAAGACGACGAAGACGAGGATGATGAAGACGACGAAGATGATGATAGGAAGTCTGACCGTGATATCGATGAGGATTCTGACGATGAAGAGGTAAATCATCCCCAAAACCACCACTATGGTCTTCGTTCCTCAATACCAATGATTGCTAACTTGGGTCAGGATGGTGCTTCCAAGCCCAAGAAGGAGGCGGCTGAGTGCAAACAAAGCTGAGCGTGTTGGTAGAAAATTCCTGGTCTAGCTATATGACCCCAACGAAACGCAATTTATGGCCGTACGTTCACAGCTTGTTGGGGTCCAGTCCCTAGTGGGGAGCTTTTCTGTTGCACTTTTTCTTTTCTTTCTGTTCCCCCTCCCCATTTTTCTTCTATTAGGTATTTCTAACTGTCCACGGTTATATTTTCATTTACCGCTGTTTCTCTTAATATTTTTTCTCTATCCATCTATCTGGTTTGGGCCTACTACATGCAGTGCATGCTTCGTTTTCGGGTTGATGGATTTATGATGGAAACTCGGTTATTAGCAGGATGGAGGAAAAACTCAGCATTCTGCGTTTAATTTTTCAGATGATTAGTAGCTCCCATGATGTCAGGTACAAATAGGATCACAACAAGACCAGTAGTATCTTTATGGGTCAGGTTTCCATACGAGTATGTAGTCCCGTACACTAGAATACTCCGCTTCTACATGCGACTGAGGTAGTCGGAGGAAAATCCGCCATAGGCATACTCAAACCCGACTTGCTGCACAGCTATCGGCCGCGCTCTCACTCGGCATGTGATTGAAAACGGCATCTTTGTTTTTGCTGTTGGCATTTAACTTAATTCATCACTGTGCATCCGCGGCTGCACTTTGTCATAGGATATAATGTATACGCGGGCAATTGAGTGCTTGAATTACCCAACTCATCTAGCTTGGCGCCGGGTTATATTAATTGAACAAACGTCTTCATGGCCCTGGGATAGGCTGTGTCCGGGTAGGGGCCGAATCCATGTTGGCCTGTCGGAGAGTTGCTTTGGTGTTTTGACAAGATAGTATACATATGCTGCAATGGTCTTAGTAACAAGATATTGGGTATGTCCAGAATCTGGTTGGTATTAAAGGGGTATTCTGTCCAATTTGCCATCCCATGTCAGAGCTTTCGAGGGCAATTAGGGCTTAGACCCGTTAAAACAAAAAAAAAAAAAGAAAAAGCAAGACAGGATGGAGAGGGGAAGGGCATTATTCCGAAAGTGAATAAACCGACATGGCAACATAGATGCATACTGTACGGAGTAATAACATCATCCAAAATTTTTACTGAACTGAAAGTTATGGATAACCATATATATATATATATATATATAACTAACCCCCAACCCTCATGGTCAACAATAAATGAGACTGGACAGTAACAAACAATAATGAGAATTAAAGACATAGGTTTCAGATCTATAGCAAAATATCAAAGGGAATCAAAGCTTGTTTTCACTTATTATCTAACTAATTTTATTATATTATTAATATCAAACATAAAACATTTTATAATACTAGCAAAGAAGACGTGAAACATCAGAGTACAGAGTAGCCCCTAAGGATGCTCAGGCCCAAGCCAGCTAGTACTTTACAGAGTACGGTGTGCAGGAGGACAACCTGGCTGATTGATGGCGCAATTAAGCTAATAGTACTCTGTACTCTCCCTAATGCAGAAGTATCCAACCATCTCCTACCGCCTCAGGCCAAATCCCTCACCGCTTGTCTTTATGATATGTTTGTTACAACTGTGTACATCTAAACAGCAATAATAATCACTTTATTCTCGCCACAAGTATCATGCCACAGAAATAGTATTGTGATATACATTGATATATTGCCAGATCCAGGAATTTGCAGCGCAACTGTAGCAATAATGATTATAACTGATTAAAGTATTGAGTATTTGATACACTATGCGATTTATTTAGCGCTTGGCAGTATTCTCAACGGTGGGGTTTTGGTTCCGACAAGTGGCGCGGCTCCCCAGCTCTTCAGGGGTTGTGGCTCGCTAGCCAAGTAATACTACTAATGGCCAGATCTTCGCCAGTCCAATATCTCCCGCCCAAGTCTATTCAATATTGAACACATGCTTTTTTTTTTTTTTTTTTTTTTTTTTTTCATTAAAGAGCAAGCGAGCGAATGCAACATACGTGACAAAGCTGCGCCCTGCTACGACATATGAGAAACCGCTGTGTCTCTTAAATGCCGATATCATTATAGGCTCCCCGGTTCGACTTCGTTTGAATTGAGGGTATCAGAGGTGCATATATTCCACGATCTTGATGGCGCACAACTACGAGGTCGGAACAAGGGCCTGGCAGCCCGAGCCGACTGAAGGATGGGTTGCATCCGAAGTCAAGGAGAAGTTGGTTGATGGGGAGAAAGTGCAGCTGGTGTTCGAGTTGGAAAATGGAGAGGTTTGTCTCTCAAACACCATCATTGTCATAATCAATTCCAAAACCACCACCATCGAACGTCGCCTCTCATGAACTGACCATTATCCGTTTGACAAGACAAAAACAATCGAAACAACCCAAGCCGAGCTCCAGGTGGACAATAACCCAAAGTTGCCCCCGCTAATGAATCCTGCGATGCTTGAAGCTAGTGAGGATCTTACAAATTTATCTCACCTGAATGAACCAGCTGGTTTGTATGCCCGGTCCGAATATATTTATATATATATATAAAAGAATAAAACTAATGGTCGTACAGTCCTTCAGGCTATAAAACTCCGCTATGCCCAAAAAGAGATATATACCTACAGTGGGATTGTACTAATCGCAACAAATCCCTTTGCTCGGGTAGACTCGCTCTACGTCCCGCAAATGGTGCAGGTGTACGCGGGGAAGAATCGAGCTTCACAGGCACCGCATCTGTTCGCTATTGCGGAGGAGGCATTTGCGTAAGTACACGCTCACTGCTCTTCAGAGCCACACGGACTAATGTTTCATTTCTCCAGAGATATGCTTCGGGATGGGCAGAATCAGACGATCGTGGTCTCCGGTGAATCAGGTGCCGGCAAGACAGTTAGCGCCAAGTACATTATGCGTTATTTTGCGACTCGCGAGTCCTCAGATCAGCCTGGAAAATACACCACGAGCAGAGCAGATGCGATCAGTGAAACTGAAGAGCAGATATTGGCGACTAATCCAGTGATGGAAGCCTTCGGAAACGCCAAGACAACTCGGAATGACAATTCTTCACGATTCGGCAAATATATTGAAATAATGTTTGACCAGAATACGAACATCATCGGCGCGAAGATTAGAACGTATCTCCTGGAAAGATCGAGATTAGTGTTTCAGCCCCTGAAAGAGCGCAACTACCATATTTTTTACCAGCTCGTGGCTGGTGCATCGGACTCTGAGAAACAAGAACTTGGCCTAATGTCAGTTGAAGATTTCGACTATCTCAACCAAGGTGGTACATCAACAATAGATGGCGTCGACGATAAGGCTGAATTAAACGCAACAAGGAAGTCGTTGTCCACAATTGGTGTACCGGAACAGACACAAGCGGAAATCTTCCGTATCCTTGCAGCTTTGCTGCATCTTGGAAATGTCAAGATTGCAGCTACACGAACCGAGTCCTCCTTGTCCTCAGAGGAACCATCTCTTGTTCGCGCTTGCGAACTGTTTGGGATTGATGCCAATGAATTTGCAAGGTGGATCGTCAAGAAACAGCTTATCACCAGAGGAGAGAAAATCACATCAAACTTGACACAGCAACAAGCCATAGTCGTTCGGGATTCAGTTGCTAAGTTTATTTACTCCAGCCTGTTCGACTGGCTCGTGAATAAAATCAATCATGGCCTAGCAAGAGATGAGGTCCTGGACAGAGTGAAATGCTTCATTGGCGTGCTAGATATCTACGGGTTTGAGCATTTTGCCAAGAATTCTTTTGAGCAATTCTGCATCAATTACGCCAACGAGAAACTACAGCAGGAATTCAACCAGCATGTTTTCAAACTCGAACAAGAAGAATACGTGCGGGAGCAAATCGATTGGACTTTCATTGACTTCTCGGACAATCAACCATGCATCGATCTTATCGAAGCGAAGCTTGGAATTCTATCCCTGCTAGACGAAGAGTCAAGGTTGCCTATGGGTTCTGATGAACAGTTTGTGACGAAGCTTCATCACAATTTCGCCGCCGACAAGCAGAAATTCTACAAGAAACCTCGTTTCGGAAAATCAGCCTTCACTATTTGCCATTATGCTGTTGATGTCACCTACGAGTCTGATGGTTTCATTGAAAAGAACAGGGACACTGTTCCAGATGAGCACATGGAGATTCTACGCAACTCCTCGAATGAGTTTGTGAAGGAGATCTTGGATACGGCCGCTGTTGTTCGCGAAAAAGATTCGGCCTCAATCTCCTCGTCCAAACCAGTTGCAGCCCCAGGGCGCCGGATCGGTGTCGCTGTTAACCGCAAGCCTACGCTGGGTGGGATTTTCAAGTCTTCGTTGATCGAACTCATGAACACAATTAATTCCACCGATGTGCATTATATACGCTGCATTAAACCCAACGAGGCGAAAGAGCCCTGGCAATTCCAAGGACCCATGGTGCTCAGTCAGCTGAGAGCTTGTGGTGTTCTTGAGACAGTTCGGATAAGCACCGCTGGCTATCCAACTCGCTGGACGTATGAAGAATTCGCCATTCGCTACTACATGTTGTGCCACTCCTCTCAATGGACCTCTGAGATCAAGGAGATGTGCCATGCCATTTTGCAGAAGGCTCTAGGGGATGGTACTCAGCAGAAGCAGGATAAGTACCAGCTCGGTTTGACGAAGATATTTTTCAGGGCAGGAATGCTCGCTTTCCTTGAGAATCTTCGTACCTCAAGATTGAATGAGTGTGCAATCATGATTCAAAAGAATTTGCGATGCAAGTATTATCGACGTCGATACCTTCATGCGCGTGATTCCATTCTCACTACGCAGGCTTTGATAAGGGGGTTCTTGGCAAGACAACGCGCGAATGAAGTGCGACAAGACCAGGCCGCAACAACGATTCAAAGAGTGTGGAGGGGTCAGAAGGAGAGAAAGCACTATAACCAGATTCGTGGGGACTTTATACTCTTCCAGTCGGTTGCTAAGGGTTTCCTCCGTCGCCGGAACATAATGAACACGATACTTGGCAATGCGGCGAAGACCATTCAGCGAGCATTCCGATCGTGGTGTCAATTGCGTGACTGGCGACAATATCGTCGAAAAGTTGTGATGGTTCAGAATCTCTGGAGAGGAAAACAAGCTAGAAGCCAGTACAAGAAGCTACGTGAGGATGCAAGAGATTTGAAGCAGATCTCCTACAACTTGGAAAACAAGGTGGTGGAGTTGACTCAGTATCTTGAATCATTGAAACGGGAAAACAAAACATTGAATTCGCAACTAGAAAATTACGACACCCAAGTTAAATCTTGGAGAAGCCGCCATAATGCGTTGGAAGCACGTTCTCGTGAGCTGCAGGCCGAAGCTAATCAAGCCGGTATTGCCACTGCTCGGCTTACTGCGCTTGAGGAGGAGATGAACAAATTGCAACAAAATCACAACGAGGCGCAGGCGAACATCAAACGCCTACAAGAAGAGGAGAAAGCGTCAAGAGAGTCCATCCAGTCCGCTAATCTCGAGTTAGAACGGCTTCAAAAGCTTGACGCGGAGCACGAAAATGACAAAGCTACCCTCCGCCAACAGGTTGCCGACCTCGAAGAGCAGCTGGAGCTTGCGAAGCGGAATGTACCCATGAATGGGGGCAACGCAGACCCACTGAATGGAGGCCCTATTCAGCCGCCTGCCAGCGGCTTAATAAACTTGGTTTCCTCCAAGAAGCCCAAACCCAAGCGGCGCAGTGCTGGTGCGGAAAGAATTGATACTGATCGCTTTAGCGGGGCATATAATCCCCGGCCCGTGTCTATGGCAATCCCAACTTCCTCTGTTGGACGACAAAATCTGGCAGGCTCCTCATTTTCACCAGGCTTGGATACCGTTGAGGTGGAACTCGAAAATCTGTTGTCGGAAGAGGACGAACTCAACGAGGAGGTTACGATGGGCCTGATTCGCAATCTTAAAATTCCGCTGCCCAGCTCTACTCCGCCACCGACTGAGAAAGAGGTCCTCTTCCCCGCTTATCTCATTAATCTTGTCACTTCAGAAATGTGGAATAACGGCTTTGTCAAGGAGTCCGAACGCTTCCTGGCTAATGTCATGCAATCTATTCAGCAAGAGGTCATGCAGCATGATGGTGACGATGCTATCAACCCGGGAGCGTTTTGGCTTTCTAATGTACACGAAATGCTCTCCTTCGTATTCCTTGCTGAAGACTGGTACGAAGCGCAAAAGACGGATAATTACGAATATGATCGCCTTTTGGAAATCGTCAAACACGACTTGGAGAGCTTGGAGTTCAACATTTACCACACATGGATGAAAGTCTTGAAAAAGAAACTTTACAAGATGATAGTCCCTGCCATTATCGAATCGCAGTCTCTTCCTGGATTTGTCACGAGCGAAACGAATCGATTCCTTGGGAAACTTCTTCCTTCTAACAATAACCCGGCTTATAGCATGGACAACCTTCTTAGCCTTCTGAATAACGCTTACAAGGCAATGAGAGCCTTCTATCTGGAGGACTCCATCATCACACAAACAGTTACAGAGCTTCTCCGATTAGTCGGTGTTACGGCTTTCAACGATCTGCTAATGCGACGAAACTTCTTGTCTTGGAAGCGCGGCCTTCAAATCAACTACAACATTACGCGGATTGAAGAATGGTGCAAAAGCCACGACATGCCAGAAGGCACTCTGCAGCTCGAACATCTCATGGTAAAGAAGTCTCCAAGAACATATGCAGCGTATTACAGTCAATGCTGACTCCGGCACAGCAAGCAACCAAGCTCCTTCAGTTGAAGAAGGCGACCCTTAATGACATCGAAATAATTCAAGATATCTGTTGGATGTATGACGCGCCTCGAATAAAGTCAATTCATGATGTTTGACCATGGACTAACGAAAATTCAGGCTCTCTCCGAACCAAATCCAGAAACTGTTGAACCAGTACCTTGTCGCGGATTATGAGCAGCCAATAAACGGCGAGATCATGAAGGCCGTTGCTTCTCGGGTCACAGAAAAGAGCGACGTATTGCTTTTGACACCCGTTGATATGGAAGATAGCGGGCCATACGAAATTGCCGAACCACGTGTTATTACGGCCTTGGAAACCTATACGCCGTCTTGTGAGTGGCATCTGAAGCCGTGGAAACTGCTCTGGTTGCTAACATCTACAAAAGGGCTTCAAACGCCGCGATTGAAGCGTCTTGCTGAAATTGTCTCGGCTCAAGCAATGGCCCAGCAAGAGAAGCTCGAGATGGCAGAGAATGGCGCCGCTACGCCGATTGATGGATAGTGTATAGTAGGAGAGTGTTTTGCTATTTTGTCTCAAACGTGGATGGACCATGATACGAGTTTTGCATCTGTGGAATGTGGAATTGGATACTATCATCCTTCTTTCCATTTTTTGAAATGTGACATGATATATGGTTGCAATCTACAATATATAGTGAAGAATATCTTAGCATCTACGAAAGAGGATCTTAGAGCCATTCAAGAAACGATCACCTGGACCGTAATTAGTTATAGTATGACACTCGGGCTTACTATCATGTCGATGATTTTTAACACTACAGCAAAGAATGTTCCGTACTAAAATCTCCAGGCGGCGGCGTCTTAGTGGAGAAGAAGGCAAAAACAACAACCTGCCATTCCTTGCCGGCTCGCTCTACCCTTGCACAACCGCATTTCGTTTTTACTCTCACCGCACTGGTTTTTCTACCTGGCAATCCATTGTGAGTGGCATCATGGCCTCTTTGAATAAGTTGAATTTTATCACCGGAAATAAAAACAAACTGGCAGAGGTGAGGGCGATACTTGGAAGCGTCATCAATGTTGAAAACCAATCTGTCGATGTGCCCGAGATCCAAGGAACAATCGAGGAGATAGCCAAGGAAAAGTGCAGACGTGCAGCAGAAGTGGTAAGCAGCAGACTTATTGAAATCTATGGCTCTGTTTTCTGCATATCATGTGTCAATACCACTGGCTTATGATCGGAGCAGGTCGGAGGTCCTGTCTTGACGGAGGATACGGCTCTTGAATTTCATGCATTGAAAGGCCTTCCTGGTCCATACATGTAGGTCGTTTGTTCTTACCCTCAAATACCAGTATATGTAATTAATTATGTTCAAAGCAAATCGTTCCTTGATGCCTTGGGCCATGAAGGGTTGAACAGGATAATTGATTCCTTCGAGGATAAAACGGCCGAAGCCGTGTGTACATTTGCCTTCTGCCGTGGTCCTGGAGCCGAACCCATTTTATTCCAGGGAAGAACCGAGGTAAGGGGTATAACGAGTCGAGATATATTACTCAAGATCTAACATCAAATCCCAAGGGTGCCATTGTGAGACCAAGAGGTCCAACGAATTTTGGTACGTGAGGCATATCTATATCTACTATGGGACCAGTCCAAATGCTTACCCATGTACGATCCGCAGGATGGGATCCAATCTTTGAGTACCAAGGGGCCACGTACGCCGAAATGGACAAGGAAGCAAAGGTAAGACATGGAGAGCTTCTTATCCTCGTCCCTCCGCTGTCGTTTGTTAACAATCTGGAATAGAACCAAGTTTCCCACCGGTACAAGGCCCTGGTGAAGCTGCAGCATTGGCTAGCTGAGGAACAACCCTAAGATTTTGATCCTGAGACGGGGACGTAATATATAGGTATCACATATCCACATTTGCTCAGTCCTGATTCTCGGCCTGTGTGCGTTTCCACGACTCCATCCAAGTTGAGATTCTGGCGCAATTGTTTTCTACATCGCCATCCTTTTCGCTGTTCAGTTCAACCACTATTTCTTCATCGAAAGATTCATGGGCTTCTTCCAGTAGCACGCCGAAAATTTCAGAGTCTAGGTTTTCTTGTAACTTCGACTCAGGATAACCCCTGTGATGACGCTTATCTTAGCCAACTAGCTCGTAAATAATTCAAGTAGGGAAAGAGTGCCGGAGAAGAAAGGGAAAGGGTGAGACACTGAAGATCGAAGGCAGAAGGAGATAACGAAATGACTGCCTATATAGTTTATATAAATTACCTTGTTGAAAGACGATCGTAATGTGTTGATGTAGACGGGCATCTCAAGACAACGACTAGGTCTATCCAGGATCTGGGAAATAAATCGCATGCGTGCCAATCAATCAAGTAACCACCCTGAAGCACTTCATCTTCAATTGCATCTAGGAGCTGCAAGAAAAGGGATAGGGGTTAGTTGAAAAACAATGACATCTTTAAGAGGAAAATCATACTTTATCCTCATCCACAACCCATGTTTCCAATTCTTGATCGTAATTCTCAAAACAATTCCGCTCCTTTGCGATCTTGTTAACGGATAGGTGCCGTAACCCGGTATCTTGTGCCAGTTGTTCGCAGTGTACAGTTTTCCCCACTCCAGGAGTGCCAGTTATAATAACATTCGGCGACTCCCGCATTATGTCCCCAGCAGCAAGGACACCGATTCGGGCGGATTCTCAATTGAATATTGTTTTGCGACGCTCCGGAGATAACGAGGGAAAATTTCCGCGGGGCAGATTCCTGGATAAATTCGGACCGCTTATCGCTTATCACTTTTTTTTGCCTTAGAGCTCAACCCAATGTATTTGAGATCTACATTTGGGTATCTTTCTTGTGATTTTGAAAGACATGGGACAGGGACATGTAATTTTTGTTTGTGAACAGACTGGCGTAACATAAAAGAAAAAGTAAGAAAAAAGGAAAGGAAGAAGAAACAACCTTCTAACTTATGCAATGTGTAGTCTATGTACTAATTATCGTTCGCAGAGTTAACGCAAAATGCAAGCACAGGCAGCCTGGATGGGTTAGTAAAGCCCTTATACCAAAGTAGAAGAACTTACTTCAATATCTCAAAGAGTTTATACTTTTGCAAGTAAGCTGAACCACGTCGGTATGCCTTTAGAAGTCGCGCAGGGTCAGGAACTTTTGCACTCGTTCCTATGAGGCGTTTGACCGCTTGAGAAGTCTTGAACATGGGGTCAAAAACCAATAAGTTTGCGCTTCCGTTATCTCGAATTTCGAACCCAATAATGGTTAGCGAGTGCCCTAGTTATCCCAGCATTAGATCACGCCATCCGACTAAGTTTGTACAATCGTACAGGGCCAGAGTAAAGAGAAAACAGAAGCTTTACCTTGATGTTGGAAGTAGATAGGGGCCAGTTCTGTGACTATAACTTTATCATTCCCGTCTAACGAACATGCCTGTCGAAAATACGCAGCAACGTCCATGTACAGAGCATCGTGAGCACGCATTTCTTTCTTCTCTGCGAGACTATTGGCTTCACACCTGCTTTTCGTTAGGCCCGTATACCATGTATGGTTCGTAGAAGGAGCACTCACTGTATCCCAAGGCTTGAAAAGAGGGCTTGAGCCTACAAACGATTAGAAAAGCATGCCAATGGTCATTGAGAATGACGGGTCTCACCTCAGGAGTCCCTATATATTTCCTAGTTCCACGGATGCCGCCGGTCTCAATCCTCCCGATGCTGTTGAACCCCATGTCCCATGCATTTTCGATCATGCCTTGTAACTCCAGGATTGTCGGCAACCCTCTTTGAAAATGCTCATGCCCTGGGGTCTTAGTTTCTTGAATATAAGAGATGAGCATTTGTATGTTCCTGTAGCCGCAGAATCCGCCCTCCCGTGGCATCTTGAAAATATGACGGACTTCAGGGCTACAGAGAAAAGCACGCTGAACAGACGTGTCTTGCTCGCATAGCTTGGATAGCACTGGAATGACATGGCTGGCCTCGTTCTCGACTGTCACATGTTTTAAAAGTGTGCCATCGGAAGATATCTTGTTTGACTGCGTCATGTTTGGGCTTTTTTCCAGTATTTTCAACAACCAAGATGGCATGCGCTTTTCGTTGGCATGAGGCCCTAATTCTGTCCGCTATTTTATGGTAAGCAAAATATGGTTTCTGAATAAATGTAAAAGCATATAAAATAGAATCTCACCCCAAGCTTTTTCACGCCTTCGGCCGATGTGGTCTCATGGTATGCAGTTTTCGAACGAGAATTATGCGCTTTGCCTGCTTCCGTCCGCAATACATACTTGTCTTGGACATCGTGATCATCATCGAATCTATCAAACCGGTGGCCATTCGATTCTTCCGCGAATGCCCCTAATTGCGACGATGTTGGATCTTCATGGGCGACTTCTTCTGCAAAATGCAGGTCCAAGTGAGTGGATAGTTCAGTATTCGCAACTACTTCCCCACAGCTATTCGGGCAGTCGACATATTTATCCGCTTGATATTCCGTTCCATCCCAGACTGAAGGTCGCTGGTATTCGGACGTTGCTTCTTGTGGTTGCATGGTGAATTGACCATGCTCAGTGCCATTTTCAGGGTGACAAAATTCAATATGCTCCATAACAAACCGGGCGTCCGTATCAGAAAAGGGACAGAATGGACAAGATGGAGTATCCACATTTTGATGGTCCATGAGCGTATGTACAATGCGTTTTTCTAACGAATGCCCGGTATATCGCGGGGGTTTGCAGCAGTATTTTATTATCTTTATTCGGCTTTGAGTAAGCAGATATCCTTCAAGAAAAAGGCGCCTATCAAAGCAAAACTGCTGTATGGAATATGTCGGAATGTATTTAATCCAGTGACCCAGGATTTTTGGGGGAGAGATGTACGGGCGACACTGGATTACTGGATATGGTACAGTGGTTTTTACTACTATTGTCGCTTTACGTGTGTGCTTTTCAAACATGACATCCCCAATTCCTCCAATATCTAGTATGCTTTCCATTTGATGGCAGAGGGACTGTCCCTCACTTTACTCCTAGTCGATTCGGTCTGTACGGAGTATTTGCCCCGCTCAATGATTCCCGGCCATTCATTACAAATACAGTCAAAAACTTCAACACCAAATTCTTGTTCGTTTGAAGAAGTCGATGCACTCATCTACGACAATTCTGGCAGCCAGAAAAGAAGCTATATTAAGGCACTTGGACATCACAGAGTCAAATCCGACGAGCCCGGAATGAAACTTTTGATATTAAGTTCACCAAAAATATCAAAGACCATGATACGGAAATGAGACAGCAGATTACTATGTATATTAATATTTGTCAATGTAAGCAACGGTACCAAGAATCTACTGCATCGAAATTGTCGCCGAGTGTCGCTAAGCGTAAGTAGTGAAGCTTCTCGACCGACAAAAACCGATGAGTTTCCCCTACAGCCACAAGTTTACCTTATGCTTGATGGAATTTATGACGAGCCTTGACCCTTTCTTATATGACCATAAGCCTTGCATGGGAATCACAATGAGCTCGCTCAGTGCAAGGTCTCAGGATACCATGAATCAACAAAAAGAAATGCTGTCCCTCGTTATTCGTCCTCATATAAAGCGGGACCTGATGCGCAGGTTTGTTGTCAGTCAAGAGGTATCTGCATGTCCAAAGATACCTCCACTACCCTGCTGTATATGCGTGCGTGGAAGACCCAGACTCCTTCAACACTTGCCTCCATGTTGTAACGTCCCCTTATAACGTAAAAGTCTCTCCTTGGCTTCCTTGTTATCCTTTTCCAAAGAATCAATGGAGTGGTTCTCGTCCTCTTCGCCGTTATAAAGAGGTTAATGTTTTCCTTGTTGCTCAATGACGCCATTGCGTCTTTCCAAACCGTCACATCGCGTCCCTGCTGTGATTCCTTGGTAAGAGCGATACGGCTGTGGGGTTAACAACTAGCGTTTTGCGTAGGTCGTGTTATACGTGGTCTTAGGTGCGCCATAACATACCTTCTGCTGTTAATCGGACCATTTCCTCAGCCGTATACAAAAGCAAAAATGCCATGGCGAAAAGGTCTGTGAACGCGATGCAACGCAGTCTGATCGCTGCAAACAAGTACGTTGAAAACAGCATTTCCTGGACAGACATCGCCTTGTCCCGTTGTGAGACGCGTAGGGTGTTCATAGATGGGGCACAGCAACTACACCGTATCAAAAAGCGAAAGTGGGTTCCCAAATGGTGCAAATGGTGCATGCTGCAGCAGCAGGAGGGAATCTTGAATTGAGAGAAAAAGTTCACCGAAAGTAATAGGCGCCTGGGGACTCCCTGTATGATTCTTCGCAAACGACGGATAATCTCCTGTTTGTTGGGTTTCGTTTTTATTTTCAGGCTGAAATTGATGGTTTTGAGAGCATAGCACGCACATGCGATTTCATTGTAGCAATATAGACACCCGAGCCCTTCTTTACTCGCATGTGGCTGGAGCTGGGGTTTGCATCTTGTTCGAAAGCATTAGCAAAATCCAGAAGTTACTCACTCAACGCTCGACGCGAGGGTTTTCTTGGCTTTCAAAAGATCTGAACAGCTGATGAATTCCATGCTACTTGCAGCCTTGTTAACAAAGAAGTTCAGCTTAAGATAGCAACATGACTCACCCCGTTAAGCATTCCACATGTTTAGAGATAAAAAGACCACTGTGGCTCTTTTGCAGTCGATATAAAAGGACGTGTTTGTAGCAATATTCATCCGCGAATTGATTACTTTCTACATTACTTTTTTTTTTTTAAAAAAATAGCCATGTCTATTTGATTAGACGATCCGTTCTGGCAACCGGGATTGAGTGACCTCCGATGTTATCGCCGGGTATTCTCCGTTTTCGCAATCCCGCCGAGACATAAAAAAAAGATTGCCCCGCTGGTCCATGCTCTCCAAGGCTTTATACTACTTGATTACATGCTTCTCAACCTTCCATTTCAGAATTGACCAGCATGGAAAACCAACTCCTGTCCAACTCGGACCCCCTGTCCATGGCCAATGGTAGCCCAGTGAGGGCCAGGAGCAACTGGGTGGTGCAGAAATTCGGAGGCACGAGTGTCGGAAAATTCGCGCTCAACATTATTGATCAAGTTGTATTGTATGCTTACAACCCTTTCCTTTTGTCCTCCTTTCTTTCTGAACTACCATGGCCAATCTGCTAACAGAATGCTCTCCAATCTAGACCAAGCCTTTCAGAACACAACGTGGCCGTGGTCTGCTCTGCAAGAAGCAGTTCTACTAAAGCCGAGGGCACTACTAACCGGTGAGTCATATCCATACATGTCGGCTCAATGCACTATTACAATTGTTAGAAAAAAAAAAAAAACTCTGTACTGATATGCGATACTGTTTGGCAGTTTGCTACGGGCCGCGCGGGACGCAGAAAATGCTCAATCGCAAAATTATATCTCTTTCGTCGACGCTGTTCGACTGGAACATGTCCAGGTGGCTGAAGAGCAACTGAAGGACCCCGAAATTAAATCGAAAGTGATCGGAGATATAAACGGCGAATGCGAACGGGATCTCAAGTTTCTAGAGGCTGCCCAGACTCTGGGGGAAATCAGTCCTCGCTGTGTGGACAAGGTGATCAGCACGGGAGAGAAACTGAGTTGCCGACTTATGGCAGCTTTTCTTCAAGATCGTGGGGTCGACTCACAATATGTAGACCTTGCTGACGTTATTGATTTTCCTATCGGAAGCCAGGGGCTCGATCAACAGTTTTACAACAAGCTCGCTACTATATTCGGACAGAAGATCAGGGATTGCGAAGGAAAAGTACCGGTGATCACAGGGTTCTTTGGAACCGTTCCCGGAGGTCTCCTTGACCAGATTGGTCGTGGTTATACGGATCTTTGTGCTGCTTTGGTTGCTGTTGGAACCCAGGCGAAAGAGTTGCAGGTATGGAAGGAGGTCGATGGCATCTTCACCGCAGACCCTCGAAAAGTGCCTACTGCTCGCCTTCTGTCGGCGATCACGCCTGCCGAAGCAGCTGAACTGACATTTTACGGCTCGGAAGTGATCCACCCTTTCACCATGGAGCAGGTTATTCGTGCGAAGATCCCCATTCGCATCAAGAACGTCATGAATCCGAAAGGCAATGGCACCGTTATCTTCCCCGATTCGCCCGCCGAACTCGAACGGACGACTCCTGGACATGACCCGCGACTGTTCCGTACACGAAGCCCTACTTTGATGCAGCGCCCGAAGCGGCCAACTGCCGTGACCATTAAGCATAAGATCCTTGTGATTAACGTACATTCGAACAAGCGGTCATTGTCGCATGGGTTTTTCGCTGGTATCTTCTCTGTGCTTGACCGCTGGCGGCTCTCCATCGACTTGATTTCGACTAGCGAGGTCCACGTGTCGATGGCTCTCCATTCCGAGATGCCGCTTTTAAATGGGGTGGGTAGAGATGAGTTTCAAATCATTGATGAAGATCTGAAAGGGGCGCTGGGTGACTTGCAGAAATATGGAACGGTCGATATTATCCCGGAAATGGCAATCCTCAGCCTTGTCGGGAAACAAATGAAGAATATGATCGGGGTTGCCGGACGTATGTTTACGACTCTTGGGGATAATAATGTTAATATAGAGATGATCTCACAAGGTAACTCAATCCTTTCATCCACCTCTCAACACTTAAGAGTCAAGAGCTAATTGATCTTTCTTTCAGGTGCAAGCGAGATCAACATCTCGTGTGTTATTGAAGAGAGAGATGCTGACCGTGCTCTGAACATTATCCACACATCCATGTTCACATTCTTGGATTAAAATTAACTCGCTTCTTCCTTTTCTTTCTTATTACCATCTTGTTTGTTGCATTCGATACATATGCTGGGATATCTATCAGCCTTTGCTTCGTCAGGGAAGGAGAAACAAAAAGGAAAGAGGGAGGAAAGTATCACTCGTCTTTGTGAAAGGGTGACGATCTAATAGATTCAATGCCCTCTCTCTGAGTGTTGGCCTTTTTTCGTCCGTCTATTTTGGTGTCCTTTCATGCCATTCCTGATCCCCCATTCGGTTTCCTATTTCTTTTTCCTGGATATCCCGGATGGGATTTTTCTTTATTGACATCCCCTTTCCTCGTTTCTCCTTTTCTTGGGTGGTGTTTTGGTGTACACTCTTCTGAATCATCTTCTGTTAATTATATTTGTTTTTGGCACGCAAGGTTATGTTGGCGAGAATTATAGAAGATGCCCGGCGATCAACGCTCTTGACTGGCAGACGTTAAGACGGAACTACGTTATAAAGATTCAAGGAGAGAGAGAGAGAGAAAAGAGAGATATATAGAGCATATACGGCGCACATAGACAAAGAGAGAATTGAGGTCCATTGGTGATACATATACTAGTTACTCCCTTTCTTGGTACAAAGTACCGAATAGACTTGAACACTGAAACAAACCACCCTTCTCATTCCCTAGAAGATCCTTCCATATGGAGCCATTCCAGGGCATACGTGAAATTGCCACTGCATAACTCACAGCATTACTCATGATGTACTCCGTAGCGGGCATGGGGCGAGAGGTGCAGACCACATTCTTTGTCATTGCTTGTGGCTGGATCGACCCGAGTCTGACTGTTTCAACCAACCCTTTGTTTGAGTTGATACTAGAGTACTACTAGCACGGGAGTATTTTGTGTACTAATCCACAGGCTACTTACTGTACGGAGTAAGGTTGAATTGGTTCCCGGGATATGCAGGTACAGTCCTACATACAGATACCCACACTCTCTACTCTGTACTGTACTCCCTGTACTATAGTACAGTACACAGTAGAGGACGTTCCTTTTAACATAACTAAAGACAATAAAGTATGCCTACCTCATCCATGGATCAGAAGTGGATCTCAGCCATCGAACCCATCAAAGATTAATACATTGATATTTTATTTATTGGTTCACAGTAAAACAGTTTGAGCAAGGGAGAGAAGTGCATACTGTATTATCCCGTAGTCCGTACTCCGTACATACAGGCCACAGACTACTAGTGCCTGAAGAATACTAACCTAAGCCTATTAAATTAAAAAAAAGAAAAAGTATATCCGGAAAGACCGGGGCGGCTGAGACAAACCGTGATTGTCCTGTATGGTATTGTCACAGGCGGCTATTCCAGCGGCTCCCTTAGTCAATAATAACATGATACCGACGCGTTGACGGACATTTACCCCTCCAGAGTGACGCGTGACGTGGACGCGTCGTGACCATACCATACATACCAAGTCGCGACATCCACCTCCATTATCGTATCCTTCCATTTCCTTTTTCCTTCTAATAACGTCGACGACGACGACGAGGAGACCATTTTTTATTATTATTACTACTCCGTACTCCGTACTCCATACTAGCCCACTATCCTGCCTCTTCATTTGTGCCCCTCTCTCTCTCCCCACCCTATACTGGAGCCGGCTTGGTGCGATCTGAGCGAAAGCAACCTGAGTGGGAAAAGAAGATTGGATCCGGCAGACGAAAATCGATTTAGCATCAAGCCGTCTTGACGCCTATCCTCTTTCTTTCTCTTTCTCTTTCTCTTTTTT